GTGGCCAGGACCAGGTCCAACAGGGCATTTCCTCTGGTGGGACTGTGCACCTCCTGAATTAAGTGGAGGTCCCGTATCTTGGCCAGGAACCTCCTGGAATGGTCCGACCTGGCTGACTGTTCCTCCCAGCAGATGTCCAGGTAATTTAAATCACCCATGACAACTACATCCCTTGCCTTAAGTGCCTCTGCAAGCTGGCCCAAAAATTCCCGGTCCAGCTCCTCCCCTTGGTTGGGGGGGGTCTGTAGTAGACCCCCACCGTTAGATCCCTCTCCCCACAGCACCCTTGTATCTTGACCCAGAGCACTTCCGCTTCCCCCTCCTCTGACCCCATTCTGCTGGCAGAGGATGTGTATTGCTCCTTGACATAGAGCGCCCACCCCCACCTTTCCCTCCTTCTCTATCCCACCTGTAAAGCCTATAGCCCCTAATGCTAACTGCCCAGTCGTGGGATGAATCCCACCATTGATGGCAGAGGACAGAGAGCTCTAAAGGAAGGGTGCTTGGGGGACCAAACACTTTTGATGGTGGATTGTCCATCACTCGAGACCTTTACAAAGCGATCCAAGTTCAATTTAAAATAAATATACATCCTGGTTGCACCAGACCTGCCAGCATTATGCAAGCGGTCAGATGATCATAACTGCCCCTCCCAATCTTAGATCCACAAGTTTCTCAGAACAGGCTGGCTGCCGCTAGAAAAGTATGCCAAGTTTATTAGTCACTTCCCCCTGGCCCACCAAGTTCATCACGAAGCCCGATTATATGGATTAAATATAGGTCTTCTTACTGCTTCTCAGAGCTCCGGACCTCTGGATCTGGCGGTAGAGTCCCGTGGAGGCTTCTGGGATCATGAACAACACAAGCTTATATTTTCTCAAGGACAAAGTCATGTGTCCCTTATGCCTGGAGTTGTTCACGGACCCTGTCACCACAGCCTGCGGGCACAACTTCTGCATGGACTGCCTGCAGAACTACTGGGACCACCAAGCCATGATCGGAGAGAGCCCCTACTGCCCGCAGTGCCAGGAGCCCTTCAGTTCAAGGCCTAGACTCTGCCAAAACATCAACCTGGGAGAAATAGCAAAGCTCGTCCAGGAGGTTCCAGCCATGACCAAGCTTCCCCCAGCGGGTCCCAACAACATCCCCTGCGATTTCTGCTCCTCTGGGAAACTCAGGCCCATCAACACCTGCCTCCAGCGCACACCCTCCTTGTGCGAGACCCACACCCAGCTATACTACAAAGACAAAGTATACAGGAGCCACCAGCTGCTGGAGCCCATCAGTGACCTGAAAGCCAGGCTGTGCCTCAAGCACCACAAGCTGCAGAAACAGACCTGCCGGGCAGAGGGCGGCTTCCTCGGTCGCACCCGCCTCCAGGAGGGGCGCAGGGACCACGAGGCAGTCCCCTTGCAGGGGGAGAGAGCAACGAAGGCGGTGAGCAAGACAGCGACCCTTGTGGCACAGGCTGCAGCCTGGGCTTCCTTATTGTGATTTGCCAGCATAGCTGCAAGGCCATACACACAACTGCCCCATGGCGGCAGGACCCAGCAGCCGACAGAAGCAGGTAGCCAGGCCCATGCTTTCTACCAGCCACCATGGCCCATTTAAAAGCTATACCTACGCAGGGCACAGGGCATGCCTTGCTGGCATGTTGCAGTGGTGGAAATAGTGGGAGCTACAGGTGTACGCCCCTCTGGCAGCAGCTCCTGTTACAGGGAGATCTCCTGGTAGGAGAAGCTAAGGCAGCAATTTTCAGCAAGGGTGGTGTGACACCCAGGGGTGCTGCCACATGCTTTGAAGAGTGCCACAAGGTTGAGGAGATAAGCAGATAAGGACAGGCTCAAGCATGTCCCTGCTTGGCCAGTCCCCCAGCCCTCCCGGCCGCTCCGAAACAAAGTAAGCACATACATACACTTCTGAAATTGGGTGCCACTCAGTTCACAACAGTTATGGAGGGGTTTCAAGTCCAGTGAGGTTGAGAACCACAGAGCTGAAGCATAGGAAGTCTTCCACTAGGCACAGGAGGCTCTCCACAGGGCCCAAATTAAACCCCTGGCACTCGCAGACCAGCCAGCTGTAGGCTTGAGGTTAGGCTGACCCAGCACAGATGGGAAGCTGTGTTGGTTCAGGCAGTTCCTTGCTCCACCGGACAATATAGTAAGTCCTGCTGAAAGGTTACGTAGAAAACCCCTCTTCCCAGAAGCAGCGCAGAGCACAACGGGGTAAGTGTTTCAGGAATCCCCCAGACTCATTGGCACTACAAATGACCCCAAGTACAGATGTGCCAAAGCCAGTAGTCACCATGCGTCTGTGTAAGTTAGTCCAAAGCCAGTTGCCGTTTATTTCGCCATTACCTTCACTAGTGCACAACGCTGGCTTTTGCACAGACTGAGGGACCTCCCACTGAAATCCTTGGAAAGACTGTGGGCCAGATCATCTGCCATCAATTCTCCCCAGTGGAGCTGCGCTGATTTATGCCAGCTGAGGACCTGGAGCATTGATTTCAGCCAGTTCGACTGAGACTTTAGCAAAGGCACAACCTGTACGGATTCAGATCAGAGGCTCTTTCCAGCATGGGTACTTCCGAGGATAAGTCAAGCTAACAACTCAAGAGAGCGGGAAAGAGTTTGTACCTGCCTCAAGAGCAGTTCGTCTAGAAACCCTGCAACAAGCTGAACATCTGGTAATGCAACTGCCAGAGGCAGGACCCACACACAATACTCTACAGCAGTGGATTTCAACCTGTTTTCAGGCTGAATGGAGATGTGGACCCCTTTGAATTGTAAGCATGGGCATTCACACACTTTGGATTGATCAAGGACCACTTAGTAAGCCGACTCCCATGGGTCCACAGACCATGGGTTGAAAACCACTGCTCTAGAGGGAGCAATCTCTCTCCCCTCCACCTCTTAGGCAGGCCTAGCCAGTATGCTGTAAAATACTGGAAGCCATGGGATGCTTCCAGGTCTCAGCAGGGTCTCATATTACCTTCTGAAGCATGAGATTTGGGTCCTCTGACCCATCACAGGACAAACAGGCAACTACTTGAAGCAGCTTCCTGCCCATTATTGCCTTCTCTGTAGATATTCTTGGAGGCCAATGGCCAGGTAGCTCCATTCTGCTCCCAAGGCTGGAAGAAAGCAATGGGGAAGAAAGCTAGCTTTCACACATCCATCCTACCTGGAAGAAACAGGTTGTAACTCTAGGGGTCTTGGCTCTGCCCTCTCAGACCTAATCCAGCCTAGTTCCCTTGACAAAGCCACACCAGCTGAGGATCTGGTCTTTCCATGTACATCAGTCAGTAATCCGGTACCCCCACGATCCACATACTCCTCTGTTGATGCTATTTAGACCTGCATATCTCTATCATTCAGAGCAGACAATGACAGAACAAACCTACTGGGCCCTGGCCATCGGTTGGCCAGCTCTTTTGTGGGAGATCATGCTGTGAAGCCAAGAAGCTTTGGTTGTAACAAGTGACTAGTGGGGTCGGAACACAAAAGAAAGCAGATATCTTGCAAATGCCTTAAGCACCAAGCCATCACTACATACCACTTGTTCCTTTAGGATACAATTAAGCTTGCAATGAGCTCACTCAGCCTCTATCTACCTTAATGCTGGAATATTGAATTTCAGAAGCCCACATCTCATAAGGGAGCAGAGCTGAAAGGTCAGCAGGTGCTTTGCAGCCATCCTGCCCTGGGCTGCCATCTCCCTAGAGCAAAGGAGGTAAAGGGAAAACACAGCCAGGGCAATAGGTTCTTGAGGGCAGGGAACATCTCACTGGAAGGCCTCAAGCCCATAAGGGGCTCCTGAACAGGACTGGGGGTATAAAGGCTGGTGTGACCTTATGGTGCTGCAAATTATTGCTATTACTTCACTGCTGTTGCTCACACCTGGATCAGGACCCCTGAGGAAAGCCAGGTTACTACAGGAAACAGCAGTGGCTTTCTGGGTTAGCATTGACCCCAGTGCCTCAGGGGGGACCATGCTGCTGGAAGCACTGTTTTTCAGAGGGAACATAATATAGCCAAAGTCCTGACCCTGGGTGATCATGAAATGAGGTCTTTCATAAGATCAGATGCATTAAGCCCCATGCCCTAGCTGGATTTCAGCTTTGGCCAATGACATTCACCCCACCCACCTATCTACAGTTTCCCATGGCTACAGCCAGCTTCTCTTTTCCAACCAACCTGTTTCGTAAAGTTGTTGCATGCTTCTAAGTAGCTGCTCTGGCTGGAGGAACTCCTATATCTGGTCAGAAAATGGGTTTTCCTCCATGAAAAGTTCAGCTGGTTTTTTGGGCAACAAACAAACCCTGAAATTTGAAATATTTCAGTTTGCAAGTGCTCCTCTGTGATCAATGTCCCTGTTCCTCATTTTGGGCTGGGCTTCCTGGCTGGACTGTGGAGATGTCCAGCCAGGTAGCCCAGGGAGATGTCTACCAGGGGAGCACAGTTCAGAAAGAATTAAAACACAACCCAAACTACAATTCCTACTGGGCACTGCAGCCACCTCTTTTGGACAGAGGTATTGCAGCACTCAGACATTTACCTTCTTCCACTGAAAGCAAGCAAAACCTTCTGCAAGGAGCAATTTCTTTTTCTGCAGCAAAAAGTAAGTTCAGGGTCCTGCATTAAGGTATGTTTAGTTCCTGTTCGGATGTCCACGGCCCTCAAACTGTCAGCTCTCACTAACACACGTTTGGGAGCATAGTGCAGCAGCGAGCTCAGAGTCTGTGCAGTCACCAACACCAAGGGACACTGAGTGTACATTTGCCATCCCTAAACCATAGATTCACTCTTCCCTTTCCAGGTGGAAACTGAGCAAATACAAGTCAACATGGAAAACCAGATCATCATGATGGCCTCCGACAATCACAGACACAAGGGGAGGATCATCTACCTCATGGTAAAGCCACTGCTTCCACTCTCAGCTTGACCAAAACTAGTTCCCAAAAGGGTCTCTCTACTAGGGTGGGCCCTGAAGACCCAACAGCCATTCTGTTCCATGGGACCCAGAGAAAGGGGGTCTTGGTCATCAGGGGGACTCAACTTGGGCATTTCTCCTAGTAATTAGGCCCACACTAAACTCGGTGCTTTTTCTTTTTTATCTATTTGCCAACGAGTCATATTCTGATCCCCCACTCTAATGTTTTTGCAGGAGAGTTACCTCTCCTTGCAAGCTATGTGGTATTTGGATTTGCCCCAGTATGATTTAGTGTTGGGGGTCAGAGTCCTGTTCAGCTGGTTATTGTAGGTTAGTTCTGGATTACTGGCTCAACAAGTCAGAGAGAGGAGGAAAGCACCTCTCTGGAGAGTGCCAGTACTCCCCATCTCAAGTCCATGCACCTCACTAAACTCAGTGACCACAGCCCCTGCATGTCTCCTTCCCTTGTAGAGAGTGGTCAAGAGTGCACGAGATGAGGTGAACCAGACCTTTGCAGAGATTATCAAGGAACTCAAGATCATGCAGGTGAAGGTGCTGGAGTTTTTGGACAAGGAGGAGAGAGCAGCTCTCGTCCAGATGGGGAACTCCATTCAGCAGAATCAAGTGAAGCTGGCCGACCTCTGGAAGCAGAGCCTCTGGATGACCGGCCTCCTGGAGAATACAAGTGACCAGCAGTTCGTGCAGGTAGGGTTCCTGCCACATGTTCAAGTTAAAGCTGGATAGAAACCAGATACAGAGTTATAACGCATTTTCAAGCACTAACTTGATAGCTGGTTGGCTCTTTTTATAGCTGAAAAGTCATTTTCAAATCAAGCGGTAACTAGTTTGCACACGTGGCCTATCTACATTTATTATGCATTTAACCAAATCAATTGTGCAATAATCACTTTGCGCTTGTAGCCAGTCTTACTTTGCATGTGTGGCTGGTCTAAATTCATTGCACAGTTAGCCAGTTAATTGTGTAATATGCAACATGTAGCAAGGGCCCATGCCTCCACAGCCATCTGCACTTTTTGGAATGGTCTATTCAACTTCCATGAGGGGTCTGCCCTGAACCTGGCATCTAGAGCAGGAGTGACCAAGATATTGCCTGTGGGCCAGACAAACTGGACACCACTGGTCTGTACTACCAACCACTGTCATAGGTTAAACTCCTCCTCATGCAGATGCAGATTGCTGTTCTGGGTCCACGTCTGTTAGGCTCAGCATGCTCTGAACCCCTGGAGTCCAAACCCAAGCACTTCCCTGGGTTGGAATATCTAGGCTCACTCTCAGGGTGCTGACCCAAGGTCTAACTGCCTGGCTCATGGAGCGCGTACTCCCCTTCCAGGGTCCCCAAAGAATTGAAAGCTGTGCTCTCTGAGCTCCATTCTGGACCAGTTTGATGCTTCCAGGGCACATGGTAGGTGTGAGCCTACACACATACCAACCTTTACATCACCTTTTGAAAACACCATTGCTCTTTACTTAGCAGCACAAGAGTTGTGTGGATTAGATAAAAGCACTAACCCCATCATGTCTTTCCCCACAACTCAAGAGCACTCTTTGGGCTGAGCACAGGGTCCTCTGGACTTGTCCAGAATTACCTTATGTCTGACCTCTGTTTTTCCTGAAGCTAAACTATCCTGCCCTACCTCTATTGTGAAAGCACACTCATTTCTGCCCCTCTTACGTAAGCTTCCTGTGACACCCTTCAAATCTTTTCTTGGGAGTCTCTTCCCCTCTTCCCCATCTCTCCCTTGTTACCTGTGGGCCACCTTTATAATTGAATTCATTCCAGTGAACCAGCCCCATAGCTAGCAACCAACAGCCCCTCAATGCAGTGAAAAGAACTAGGCCAGCTTCCAAACTGGAAGAAAGCTTTCCCCCCCATTTGTATTTGAAGAACCTTGCGGTTTTCAATAAATCTGTCTGGAAAGAAATGAGACTCACTCCCCAAATCAAGTCTAAACAACCTTCCTTTGTGAGACATCCATTCTGCCCTAATTGCAACAGACTGCAGTTCCTGGATTGCATGCTTGTTTCTGGATCCAAGCAGGAACCCTAAGCTGAAAAAAATAAGTAAACACTGCAGCAAAATGCAGAGAGTCAGTTTAGAGAATTGGCTTTTTGGTAGATGCCAGTGTAATGGAGAAGAATCCTGTCCTGGCTCTTAGGAGATAATAACATTTGGCATCATCTCAAACATACAAGTACCATAAAGTCCGCCCTCTGCAGAGGACCATTAAAAAGTCAGTGTAATTTAAGCAACGGTTAGGCTTCCCTGGCGTGCTCTTTGCACACAGGAGAAGTCAGCCACCTGCCGACACCCCGGCTCACACTGTTCAAATACTGTGCCACATTCTTTTGCATATAACATTGCAGGAGTTTCCAATCCCCTTTCATAGCTTTTCTAGGAACTAGAGTGCCTTGAGTATGTAGCAATAACGGCCTCTCAAATATCTAGATATATTTAAACCTCAGATGTCATTTCACAACCATAACTTTGAACTTCTCTCCCCATACAAGCACACAGCTGCTCTTTCCTCCATGCTGAATCCCGAGAGCTGGAGAAATTTATTATGGGCCAGATTCTGACACAGGAACGCAGACTTTGTAGTTCCTACCTCCGCAATAAGCACCCCCTCACCGTAGAGTAAGCTGTCATTTAGTTGGAGGACATCAGAATCTGGCCCAGTGGCATCAACAGTGAATAGCAATAGTTCCCCAAATGGTCTCTGCCTCACAGGAATTCCCAAAACTGAAGCAGCTGGGAGCCTGCCCAGAGCCAGTGGTCAGCCTGAAGTGTGAGGAGTCCTCGAGTTTCACAGGCGTCAAGCAGATGCTGAGTGATTTGAAGGCCCAGCTAGCAGTGGTTGCTCTCCACTTCGTCAATAAAATCCTTAAGACAGGTGAGTGAGCTGCTTTTGCTGAGAGTGTTTTTACCCCCAAAGGACCTTCCTGAGCTGCAGCCCCAGGTCCCAGCTCCTCTGGAAGTACTGGGAAGACAGGACAGTGCTGGCATTGGCAGGTACTTTTTTTAGCAACCGAAATGGGGAATGCCATCAAGGATGCTATCACCAGGTTTTCAGTGGGTAGTTGTCTTCTGCCATTGACTGCAGAGGACTTCTCCATTCTGGAGGAGCCCCCATGTCTTCCCCCGAGCCCCTCCTTCCTTCCAGAACAGCTCAGACCGGCTGGTCTCAATTACATAAATGTCTCCCTCAGTGCTGCTCTGCAAGGGAGTGCAAACACATAATGGTGCATTTGGCACCAGCCACTTTCTACCGAGAGTCCAAGCCGAGACCTTTCATGGATCAAGAGACGGGTTCAGGTGCCTTATCAACCTTCTCTAGAACAGCACAGCTTCTGAGCCGCCAGTCAGTGTTGAACAAGTTCATGCCCCACCATATCATGGATCCCATCTCATAGAGGCTAACCTCCCACTCCCCTCACTGGCCTTGGTCAAGGAAGTAACCTAACTTGTGACTTCTCATCTCAGGAATACTGTTCCTACACCACATCCTATTATCTCAGGGCAGTGGCACCCTCACCCACTCCCAGCCTCCCATACCCATATTCCCATTCACAATATTAAATCACCTACACCTTCCCACGAAGCGTCTAGATTACAGCACTAAAAGGGAATGAGAGAAGGGATCCCTTGGACAGTCTGGATTGTGCTTCCACTTCAACCACCAGGCCTCAACTGGCATAAATCCACATAGCTCCATTTACCGCAGTGCATCCATGACAATTTACACCCCATCCCACTACCTTTATGCACCATCCTCCAGTGGCCATCAACTGACTTGCATGTTGCTACAATCATACAAGTGAGAGCTGGACAAAGAACTTCATGATGTTCCACCTTAAATCCAAATATTACCTCCAAATTGTTCCCCTTCCTTTTCTGCCACTAAGCGATGCATCACATCTGACTGGGCTTGGAGATGCTGTTTGAAAAGCTGTTCTTGAGGTATTTCTGTATTTGGGAATTCAGTCCTGGCCAGGAACGTGCATGCAGAAACAGGGCATGAATGGAAAGCAAGGCAGTTAAGCTCACATTTTTGAACCCTGTGTAGAACATTTTGCTTTGATAATTAGACAAAATTCAAGATGGAAGGAGAGATCCTGGGGCCTCCTCTCCAATTCCAGTCCACACATTTGCTCGACAGCTCACCCACCCTCATTTTCCAGAAGCTGAATGAACAGCTTCTGTGTCTTTCATTTTACAGGCATCACCATGCAGCCCTATGAGGTGATACCACCCAATATGGACAAGAAGACCCTCCTGAAGTGTAGGTCCTGGCTACATTTCTTGGCTTTCTTTTCTCCAGTCTCTGTGCCCTGATTTCAGGGAAAGGTCTAGTCCAGGGGTAGGCACAGGTGCCAGAGTGTGGCACTCAAAGGCATTTTGCTTGGCACGCATCTTGGGGCACATAGCAGGGAAGGGGCCGGGGCTGCGCTGCCACAAGGATCAGGCCCCTCGTGGTTCCCCTGCCATGCAGCCTTGGCACAGAAACATCATACAAGCTGAGGTTGCAGGTGTTTTTAGCACTATGCCTATAAACATTGCCAACCCCTGGTCTAGTCTAACTGCTGGAGATGGCAAGGTCCTTGATGGAAGGAACTCAGCAAGCTGGAATCGTTAAAGCCCCAAGAAGGACAGAAGAACATTAGGAATGTGTTTTACTGCTAAGGCAATGGGAGGCGGGAAGAGCAGCACGTACCAATCCGCCCAAGGTGAACCCTAGAGGAGCCTAGTAGGCAGACTCCATGAGTAGCACTAAAGGTTTCCCTCTGCACAAACACAATGCTGGATGCTGTGCAAATCATCGCTGGCCCAGGGAGCTCACAGCGTAAACACACAGTCCCAACAATGCAGTCAATGAGGGGAGGGTTGCAATTACCTTACATTTGGGCTGAACTGGACGTCAAGTGACGCACAGTCAAGGGGCAGCGGTTCAGGCCCTACGAAGAGAGGCTAAAGGGCCTGAACTTATTCAGCCTCCACAAGAGAAGGCTGAGAGGGGATCTCGTGGCCATTTACAAACTCACCAGAGGGGACCAGCGGAAACTGGAGGAGGCTCTGTTCCCTCGGGCACTACCCAGGGTTACTAGAAATAACAGCCACAAATTGGGAGAGAGAAGGCTCAGGCTGGGCATCAGGAGACATTACTTTGCAGTTAGGGCTGCCAGGCTCTGGAACGGGCTCCCAAGTGAGGTGGTGCTCTCTCCTACCTTGGGAGTCTTCAAGAGGAGGCTGGATAGATATTTGGCTGGGGTGACATGATCCTGGTGCCCGTTCCTGCCCGGGGCAGGCGGTCAGACCTGATGATCTGTTTACGTCCCTTCTGAACCTAAGCACTATGAAACTATGACTCAGAGTTTCCAACCTCAGATACATCACTGAGCCTCAGGTTCATTCAATGTACAGTGGGGAACACAACTACAGAGAAAAGACATGAGGCCTCTTTAGTAAGTGTTTGTAAAGAGCCCAGGAAGTCAGATAAACACTATATACATTCTAGGTGTTATTAAAATGCTAGCTTGGGTATCTAGCAGGGGAGAGGCTACACATGTGAACATTTTCATGTGCATCAGGGGTTTGATAGTGGTAGAAATCATGCTGTGCTGTTCAATCTTAACAGGGCATCTCTAGCAGGCTAACTACACATAATACCTACCTGTCTGTATCTAGAGTCCTTATGGGAAAATCCACTGATCCCCTTGGAAGATAGGTCTCCTGTAGAGAAGGAAACTAACAATCACATAGCCCATCTACCAAACACTTTGCTACCAGGCACCTTGGCAGCTATTTCACACTTCAACAACAGCCCCCCCTACACACACACACACACACACCTTCTCCCCTCCCCTCCAACTTCCCCCTTGGCCCCCCAGTTGTACTAGGGACCAAACCAACCCCAAGACAGAATAAGGTACAAGCCGCATCTCTCAGTCTCATTAGCATTGTAGCAGTGACTCTCACTGCCTGTCTGAAGCAGCAGGTGGCTTGCGGAGGCCTGCTCAATCTATTTACCAGCAGTGCCAAGTGTAAATTAACTTCTGAATAAAGTAAAGGCTACCTTTTCAACAACAGTAAGCTACACGGTAGGTGCTTTAGGATACAAAGGATGCAGCCAGGTCTAGTTCAGCCCCAAAAGTTTTGGGAAGACAGTTTTCCAGAAACATAAAGACAAGTTTATGAGTTGCTTTTCAAATCCCAATGGAAGATTATCCATGTGTTTTGGAACCCAAATGCTGCCCCATTCCAAAACACCTTCAAACTGAAGTCAGTCTCAAGCTGCCTGTGAACACATGAAGCTGATGACTGGCTGTGCCGAAAGAAAGGCAAAATACTTACATACACTACGTATTAGTAAGGGCACATGCATTACATTTCCAAGTCTTTCCATCGTCAAGACCTACAAGCAGAGATAGTGTTGCGTTAGTAAGAAATCATTAGGCACTTGTACATGTTACGTTGTGTTAAAATCGGGCCTCATCTTAAAACAGGTCTGCAACCTTTAAGAGACTAATTATTTCAATTAAATTCTATTACTTGTGCCTGTAATAAAAAACAGCCCAACCACTTGATTTGTGGGCATCGTAATTTAACGGAATACTTTTTTCATTTTGAACCCGCACTGGTAAACTGCCTGAAGAACTCAATGCTGGTTTTAGGCTTATATAAAAAAAAAATGTCGCCTTCTGGATTCAGAACCAAGGAAATCAGTCTCTTTTTCAAACTGGCTAGAAGTCTGAAATTGCAAGACAAGACTGTTATTGACCTCTTTGTCAAGGATGTTATGGTCTTAACTGGCCTCAACAGGGCACACCATATCTTAAAAAGAGATGGTGACGAAAAAAGCAATGATTTGAGGAAGTCTGGCTGGCGAGCCAGAAAGAATTTAGTTAGTTTTAAAACCAAATTACTTTTCTCTATTTGAAACTCAGTCGAAAAGGAAATATTCTGGTTATCCTACTTATCAGAATTGGGTTTTTTTGGATAGGGAAGAGACATGCATGCGCACACATCCCCACACCCTCCTTTCCTTGTATTTTCTGTAACCTAAACCTTGCAGCACCTTACTGGAAAATAAAGTGAACTAGAGTTATTTGTGAGTGACCGGGTGCAATGGAAAAAGTTAGCAAGCAGCACCATAGTGATAAGCATGGCATGAGGGGGTTTGCATCTGGCTTCGTACTTAACTGATAATACTTAACCTTAAATGACTGCAGTGGAAGATGACTGCCATTTCCATCTGGCCCCTGATTTTTAATCACTCAAAACTTCCTGAAACTTCCACTTTTCAGGTTAGCGTTCTTCTCCAGTCCTCCTCCCCTCCTTCAAGATTTGGAGTACAAGTTGGAGGGGAAGGGAGAAAATACTTACTTTAAATTCTCTTACAGCCTTTTTTTTTTTTTTTTTGAGCAATGCTACAACCAGCCTAGCCAAGGATGGAAATTGAGATTTGAATGGCTGGTGTCCTCAGACAGAAGTTCCTTTGAGCGCTTCAGTGAAAATTGGCTTGATTTTGACCCCAAATTATCATGTCTAGCATGCACCTATGCCTTATAGATGGAGTAGCTAAGCTGCTGATGGATCAGCTCATACCTGCGCTCCATAATTTCAGTTGGAATGGGACCAGCCCCAGAGTGCAGCTCAGGAAAGTGAGCCTTATGCAGGTGCAGCTAACCTAGTAAAGCAGCAACCACCATGCTGAAGGTGCGCAAGCTTTAACCAGTGGCTGGCAGCTGCTTTGAGTTTGCAGGCGAGAACTCTGCTGGGATTCACTTTAAGGCTCCTGCAGTCTGGGAGAAGGGCCATCCTGGACACCAGCTGAGCTGTACAGCAGGCAGGCTTCCTCCTGCAGATGGCCCAAAATACCTGGGACATGCTTCCTAGTGGTGGTTACCCAAATAGCTTCAGGTTACATATATGGAACTTGCATCTGTAACAAAGCACTATCATGCCATTGGAAGGCATTTCTTCCACACACTCCCCCCTCCACCCTATTGTTTCCCTTTTCATTAAAAGCCAAGACGACTTGCAGAAGTAGATGCCTTCTTGCACATGCTAAATTCTAGCTACATAATCATGGGTCATTTCTCAAATGCAGTATGACACCATACACTTGGCATAGCCCTGGATACATGAGCGGCCTTCTCAACTATGAAGGGTTTGACCTACACAGCATAATACATTATGGGTACAACCCAAGAGCAGCAATAATTCTCAGGGGCGATGATAGATTTACAGTATTGTCTAGGACCCCACTGTACTTGAAACAAAGATGACTTCCTCCAACCCAGTAAGAGACCACAGATAGGTACAGACAGACTGAGGAGCACAAGGAAGGGGAGACAATACGGTACAATTCATTTAAGTGGCATTTCACAGAGTTCCTCGTCCTTCATTTGGGACTAAACCGGCTGTCTCCTGGGCTCCTCCCTTCGCCACTCAACCTCCTTGGGTTCATGTTTCCCTTTGCGTGCCCTGACCCACATCTCCTCCTTCCTCTTGCAGACTATTGCAACCTGAACTTTGACCCCAACACCGCCAGCGAAGAGCTGCTGTTGTTCAAGGAGACCCACTCAGTGCTGAACATTGGCATCATGCTGGAGTCCTCCTCCGTGCCCTGCCAAGGGTTCAACCACTGGCCACAAGTCTTGTGCACCCAGAGTTTGTGCGGAGGCTGCCACTACTGGGAGGTTGAGGTCTCAGATTCGTGGCTCTGCTTGGGAGCCACCTACAGCTATGCGCACAGGACCGGGAAGAACTACATCTACTTGATAGGCAGGAACAGCACCTCGTGGTGCTTGGAGTGGGACTCGCTCAAATTCTCCGTCTGGCACAACAACATCCAGACAGTGGTGAAGGGCAGCTATTACCAAACTGTCGGGATCTTCCTAGACTACGCTGCTGGCTCCCTGACTTTCTACGGGGTCACCAACACCGTGAACCTCATCTATCACTTCCTGACCACGTTCACAGAACCACTGTACCCCGCTGCCATGGTGAGCGGCGGAGGTTCACTTTTCCTGAGGCAGCACCCGAAGTAGGAGCAGATTTGCTGCCTGGAGCTCACGGGGGCTCTTTGTTGCCAATAAAATTTGTTTCTAGCTTATTGCTGGCCAAGCTGGGTTTTTAATTCATGGCTACAGCATTAATGGTGTTTACACTCGATTCTCCCCTGGGAGAACGGGATCCGTCACTCAGGGGTGGGGAGGAAGGGGTCTGCCACCTGTTCAATCCGGCTTCCTGCATCAGCTCTGCCTGGTGTCCTTTTCAGCTTCATAATACAAGACTAGGCGGCAGGCCTTCTAGCAGTCTCTTCCCACATTAAGCAAATCATTTAACCTTGCTACGCTTCTCTCCCCCTTCCTCCTCTCCACTGGCTTCACATGGGCATGAAGAGCCCTAATAACAGACCAAGATAGTACTAAGTGCTATCCACACAAGGCAGCCATGCTAAAATGGGCCACGCTGTTGAGAATCAAGGCTCTCCTGTGGTCCAGCCCAGATGTTTCCCTTCTCGTTGTTCCTGGCTGTGCTCCCTTTTTACAAACCTGAAGTCCCCCTATCCTTTGGGGACTCTGTCCCATTCCAGATGCTCTGCTCTTTGCTGAATGGGCCAAGCAACCTTCAAATCTAGCTTGGCTCTTCATGGAGAGTCCCTGGATCTGGGCTTGAACTGCTTGCCCACTCCTTCCTGACAGGCAGAAGCTTCCACTCAACCTGGTCGGATGCTTTCTTTAGCATCAGAAATAGATGAGCAAGGGCTTGCATGGGCTCAACAGACCAAGGAAAGTTGCAGATAAATTGATCACAGGAACATTTTCCCTGAAGAATCTAGTTGGTTTCCCCCCTACAGTCTCAGCAAGAAGCCCATTTTAGGCACTAAAATTAGGCAAATGTCTTTTTGTAGTTAGATTCAGCAAGACACAAACACGCACAGTCCCCCACACCCCCTTATTATTCATAACATCTGAAGTAGTCACCTGTTTCCTATGAAAGCTCATACCTCTCCAAACTAATTATTGTCTCAAGATGCCACCCTGCCCTGCCTACACCCTTATCAGTAAACACAATTCGACCTGGTTTACAACCCAGCAGTATGATAAAGGGCAATGGCTCAGCTTGCTCCTTATTATAAACCTCAAGAGAAATGGAGGCACCACCTGCATGTCATTTTTTTTCCCATCCACAAAGAGCTGGCAGCTTCCCATAGCTACAGTCCAGTGATCCCACTAACTTGAGCAAGTATTTCAACAACGTAAGCAAGTGTAATATGCCAGAGCCTCTTTGGACTCATGTGAAGGTCTCTGTTCTCGGACTAATATTCAACTGGCCCCTGCAGTGGTTGGATTACTTCTACAGGAGACCCGTGTCAACACCACCTCTTAACAGGCCCTTTCAAGTTAACCTAAGATCTCATGAACATTAATTGCTCTTTTGTTGCTGCCGTTGCAGGCAGTTTGCTTTGGATGACAGCCCTGGCTGCCTCCCAGTGACACTGCGGCTGCATCCCAGAACAGCCATTTTAAAAGAGTAGGTGGTTTTATCATGGGTATAAAGCATTTGGGGGATGGGGGGGCATGTTTTCTCATTTCTGTCTGTGCCTGTGCTACTCCCTGACCATTTTTTACCTTGCACTTAGAAGCCAAGCAAGGTGTGGGCTGCTCAGAGCCTGGCTGGGAATGCTAGGCACTGCAGGAAACCAGGATGGGATTCAGTAAAGGGTCTTCTCAGTTCCTACCCAAGAGCTGCCCTAAGGCAGGCTATATATTGCTGTGGCTTTGTAAATCAACACTGCTGACTCCTGGCCATTCACTGAGACTCACTATTCAGCAACATTCAGGTCTACGCTGCCTCCCCAGCTCTCAGGACTGCTGCGAAGAAGTCCCTTCACTTCAAAGCCAGAAGTGAAGCAGAGAAGATGTTTTGGAAATATCCCTGGCCAGTGCTCTAGAGGCAACAGGGGAACGTCCCCAGGAAGGGTGGAAGGGACTTAGTTTTCGGTGGCTGCCTCAAGAAGGCCATGGAGGTGGTCTGGACATGCTCTGTAGTCAGGCTGTTATCATGACGTTCGTGAAAAGACCATGCACACGCACACATTTCCAGTCTTCATGTTTGCAGAGAGAACCTGAAACACAGCCAACACATTGCTAAGTGTTCAAAATGCAACTAAAGGACCCAAGCCACGTAAACCAGACTCTTGCTTTCTTATTTCTTGGCATAGGTGCTGCTAGAGGAAAGCCTCCCTTTAACATGGCATCTGCAGATCTCTCATAGTGCTGTCACATGTCCTGCTCCTCAGCGACTGAGCCTGGGATATACGTGCATCCCTTGTGTCCAGCAAAGAACCATAAAAAGTAAGACTCCATAAAAAAGGAAACTCTGGAGGTCTAGTCTGGTCCCTTGCCTGAGGCAGGATCCAAACCATCCCAAGCAAATCCTTGTCTAACCTGTTACTACAACTACACAGGCACCCCGGCCATATGGTGCCCTAGCCTGCCACCGGTACAGTAGAGGGACAATGGTGGCCAATGCCCTGCTGCTGCAAGGGTTGTTAAAGGGTTATTAAAATATGCATATAGGGAACTTGAAATACGGAAAGCCTCCTTTTCCACCTGCCTGCCCCCACCCATCCCCATATTCTTGCCCTGGAGACTGCATTTCAGTGGTAGGTGGAGCAATACTTGCACCTACCCCAATGATGCTCAACCAAGGTTTTGTAGCACCCCCAGGCTGCCATAAGATCCTTCTAAGAGTGCCACGTCTACACATGAGTCACAAGATAAACTCAGAGATTTCAGATTGGAATTTGTAGTGTCAAAAAAGATATGCTACCCTGTTGTCATCGTTCCAACAGAATTGTTCTATTCTTTTTCCATAGTCAAAAAAAGGAGGGACAGCTGGAGCTGGCATTTTCCGAGGGGTGCCTTCAGCCTACAGAGATTGAGAATGGCCAGTCTACCCTATTTGTAAACTGATGTGGAATTTGAAGGCTAAGGCAATTCAATATCTTTGATTTGAAGTGTCATTGTCACCCCCTACCACCACCCTCTAAACGAAGTCCCAGCAGTGTTTCATCTCATGCAGCAAATGGAATCCCAAAGATTTTCCTTATCTGCGTGCCTGGAACCAGTTCAGCTCATCTTTAAAAAAAAAAAATATTATAATAGTAATAATACTAAAATCTGTGAGCAGTGATTTGATCCCACTCAATTCTGAAGAACAGGTTCCCTCCTGGACCAAAAGCCCATCCTAAATGAGGTTCCTTTAAACCCAATGACACTGGGCTTAAACAGCTACCCCAAGCAAGAGGCCATAAACAACTGCAGGCTCAGTGCATGCAATAATTACCCAGATCACAGCCATCTACTCATGCACAAATGATGGTTGACAAGTAATAACTCAGTATGCTGCAGACGCACAACTCCATTTTTAAAAGACTAGCTTCAGGCCAGCCTTTGCAGCATGGTCCAGTGGTTAGAAAATAAGAATCAGAACACCTGGGCTCTATTCTTAGCTCTGTCAGTGACTCCCTGGAGACTATAAACAAGTCAGACTGTTGCGTGCAATAGGTATCCAGCCCAGAGAAGCCCTACGAGACTCCATTAGGGTCTCCAGTGTTTGCAGATCTCAGGACAGGTAGGCACTAGAGGAGCAGATTGTTATAAAGATCATTTTCCAGAAGAGGAGGTTGGTTCCCCCCCTCATCCTAGAAGCTGACTATTCTACCCTACAATAAACCCCACAGTCCTTCTCAGCTTGCACCAACCACCTTGCATGTTTGTACAATATGTTTGGTGGATGGGCAAAAATAAGCTCTCGTTACACATGTGGTTTGGGGCAGAGCCAAGGTAGGCCTGGCCGGGCAAAGCTGACATGCTGCATGCTTTATAATGTAATATAGCAACTTTTGAAATAATTTTATAGTACCCTGCTCCCTCTTGCCTTTAGTCTCACAAGTGTCTTCCGCCTCCTTTATATTGCATCTCTTCCATCAGCTCTTTCTTTTTATGTATTGCTTTTCTTCTCCTTCCAGCTGTTCCCCCATTATAGTCACTCCCCCAGCTGCCCTCACAATGTCACTCCAAGTGATCACATCACGGTCAGCAGCACTGTCTCCCTTCTAGCACCACTACTCATGCCCGACTTTCCCTCCAAGACCTCCACTCATTCACCCAGTACACAGGCCCTGAATAACTCCCCCCCACACCATCTCTGGCTCCCCGATTTATATATCAACTCCCAGCCCTAGCAATGACACGCATAAGCTGGATGCTTCAGCTATACCTTTCCCCACCCTACCACAAATTTTGCAGAACAAGGTTGGGCCTAGAGCAGCAAGCAAGGCCATGGGTGGGACATCCACCGGCATTCACCTGGAAAGGACATCGAGATCTCCCAGCCCGACAGCAGCCAGGAGTCAGCTTAGGTTGCCCGTGTAATATTTGTTCTGGTGATTCAGCAGACAGATCACACGGTGTCAAAGTCCACGTCCCTCCTGAGCAGTGTCACTCCTGCATTAGGCTTCGGGACATGGATCTGAACGCGGATCCGCAGATGGAACGGCCCCTTTTTTTTGGGCAGAGCGCAAGATGATCACCACTTGCCGCAGGAAGAAAGTGGAGTGCACGGGGGTGTTATAACCGAGACGCAGCGGCGGGCCCAGCTGCCTGTTTCATGGCATCTCTGGGCCATTTGCTGTCTAGCGCAATCCTGCACCTCCAGAAGTTCGTATGAAAACCCCTCTGCAACCTCAGCAGACGGATAGATGGGCAGCTCAGTTAAGGGAAGAACCAAGGGGAAGGGCGCGTGGGTCCTCGGGGACTTGCTTAGACACGAGGCGGACTCCCGGGGTAGGAGCCCGCTTGGATCTGGGGGAGGGATCACACGATCACCCCAGCGCAGGATCTCCTTCCTCCTCCATCCTGACCACCTCCAGACTCACAGCTCCTGGCACTAGCGAGAGCTGAGCCTGCCAGGTGGCTCAAAGAAACGCAACACGCTGGATCCCATCCCCAGCAGATCCCCTCCGAGACCCCTCCCCGCCCTGGATCTCTGCATCCCCCTCGCGCCTCCTCTCCAGCCCGAGAGATCCACTCCACCCCTCCAATCAGACTCATCCCCGGGTGGATCCCCGCGGGTGATCCCCGTTTAGTATGCGGG